ACTTACTTATCTCATGTATTATTCTTCCTATATTATTGGGTTGTTTCACTAAATTCGTTAATTTAATTCAAGTAGTAATAGTTGTTTTGAATCTCTCACTATTATTTAGGTGCAAACAATTCAAACAAACCATACCTACTAACTATATGGAGAAGGAAAAGGGGAATAAGTGAACATCAAGTAATTTTCCCCTCTTTTGAACCTTTTAACCACAATTAACTTCCCTCACAATCTTACTTCCTCAGATTACAATCTCACTTCCACGAATATTACTCCTTAGATATGGGAAAAAAATAAAGAAAAATTATGTAAATTAGTTTCTCAAAAGAATTTTTACTGGTAAATAAGTTAAAACTAAATAAAAAGGTTCATGTGACAATCACATTGATTAATATGTGGTCCATCATTTTTATCTTTAAGGGCTTAGTTGTTACCAAATTTTATCGTTTTAAAAGTTATATGTGCATAGAGAGAAAAAGAGTAACATCACCCTCTCCATCCACTTTGGATATATTTTCTGTAAATTGCAACTTATTTTTTAAAAAATTGTAGATTTTTATGTTCATTTTCCATTTAAGTTTTATCAGGTTTATTCGCTAGTTAAAATTATTTTGAAAACTAATTTACTTTTTTTTTCTTTTTATTACATTTACCTAAAAGGAAAATTCTTATCTCATGAATAAGAACTTACACAACATATTAAGCTAAATAGATTTATAAAATAAAAGTAAATTAAGTTTAATACTATCTTAATATTAAAGAAAAGTGGTGAGTAGATCATATGATCGATCTCTAAGAGAAATTATTACCATTCACATAATTTTTTTTTTCAAACATTTCAATCTACTCAAACAAATTAGCACAAACAACATTAGGCTGTTATTACTGGCTAAACCCAACACAATATAAAGCGCAATATATCCTTTAAAAATTTTAAATTATTGAGGACTAACTCATTGAAATTTTTTATTAATTAGGGCTTTATATTTTTAGAATGATGCTTAAGGGAAGGATAGGTCCCAAGCCGATAGGAGACCAAATTGACGTGGCATTGACTCAATGTCTATTCATCCTTTTTCATTTTATGCATTAGATTTATAGATTACTTCCCAAACTTAACATAGTAAACTTATTTCTATCTGGTCATCGCTGATTGGTTTAGTACTCATCTTATAAGAAGAGTGGTATTTAGGACATTAAAATTTTAGCTTCAAATTCAAACACTCACTCCCCTACCTCCAAGTTTCCCCAATTCAAAAAAAAAAAAAAAAAAATTACACTTATTTCTATCTAAAATTAAAGATTATTAGACCTAAAATATAGTAGAAATAAAAGAAGAATAATAATAATAAATAGAATCAAAATTTAAGATTAATGACGTGACATAAATAATATTAAAACATAAATTTTATATTATTTAATAATTAACTTTTTAAAACCTAAAATATAGTAGAAATA